TCCATAAAAAATATTTTTGGACTCCTCTTTGAGTTTATTACTTGAAAATATTTTTTTTCAAATTTTATAAATTTTTTGGTTACATTTTAAAAATCATTTGGACATAATATCTTTTATTTGCATTAATTTTGTTAGTTTGTGTAAATAATTTTCTATTTCTTTTTTCCTTTTGAGATAAAATCCAAGAAAAATATGACTTCTGATCCTTAGAGTTTTTTTTTAATATTTAGGTTATTTTACATCAAATTTATTTGACCTTTGGATCTAACTGATTATTTTTTGAACTTATTTTCCTTTTTTAGGGTTTTTGCTTGATCATACACAATAATGGATTTAAATTTCTAACTTCCTATACCTATAAAATCAGAGATGAAATGGTTTGGAGTGCTTTAACATGTTAAGGCCATAAAAATCATTTTTCTGGAATTTTACAATGTGATTTCATATTTTTCACAAATTATCTTCCAAAACCATCTAGTTTAAGGCTTAAACTTGATAGTCTCCAAGTTTGCATTTCTAAAGCAAATTTCCATCTCAATCCATGGACTCAAAATGTTATTTCAGACTTTTATAGGATCTTGGGAATTTAGGGTTTTAATTTCATAAATTTTCAAGTTATTTTCATATTTTAAAACCATTTTTGGCTTAAGATTTCATTTTTGGGTTTTACCTTTGATTAATGCTTGTAATTGAAAACTTTTGTACATGATTCTTGTTTGATTCTTGAAATAGCATGTGGTACTGACTTAGAGCACATCTTGAGGCAAATTCTTCAACATCATTGGGTCTTGGGTGTTGATAGGTTGATAAATCAAATCCATTGAGATGGACGAATGATGTTGATGATATTTGAAACTCTAATCCTTTCCCTCTTCATCTTATTCCCCTTTCTTATTGTATTACATGTTATGGGATAATGATATCTATATCATTTATTCAAATATGAAATACATATATTACTATTGACCGACCTCAAAATAGGTACGACTTTTACATAAGTCCACTTACGATTGCTTAACATAGCGCTAAATTTTGTCCCGATTCGAATAAATGATCATTTGTGGCCCAAATGTATATTTGCAAGTCCAAGTATGTTAATTTGATCCCTTTGATCCAATAAAATTGAGATTCATTGTGTGGAGGCTTTGGTTCTACCAATCCTCTAATGGATCTTCATAAATTTTGGTCAACGTGGATCACTTAAACATCGTTGATCATTAAATATTGCCTTGAGAATTCTTAAATGGATGATATACTTCACAAAAAGCAAATGCAACTTGTTGTTGAGAGGCTTTGATTCTACCAATCCTCTAATGAGTTTCAAATACAAGTTTCAAGATGGTCATCCAACTAACCACTAATTATTAACAATTGACTTTACTTTATGCTTTTATTTTTATGCTTTTTGTACTATTTACTTTAACATTTACATTTCATGCTATTTTCATCTTTGCTCACTTGAGTTTTTCTTTTCTTTTTAAAGACACTTAATAATCAACCTAAACCCAAAAAAAACTTTAATGATACTTGGACTATTTGGTTACTATTCTTGGCATTACGGAGTATTGGACTTCTTGGACTTAGGATTAGAAATCTTGGCCTATGTTAGAGACCTTGTGACCTTAATTGATATTTTGTCTGGAGTTCTTCAGGTTTATCTCAAGACATTGGGTTGTTTGTTTGTCTTGTGTGCAGGTTATTGTGATTACATACTTTGTTTGTAATCTGGAATTCACCTGTATACAGCCGTTACTCTGCCCAATTTTTGTGAAGACTTAATACACTTGATATTTTGTTCTCTCAAGAGGTCTAGTATCTTTGCTTGCTTGGTTTCAATCCAAAGAATGATAATTCTATATTGACTCATAATGTCAAGTATTGGCTTCTTGTTGGTTAGATGGTTCTTATCCCTATCTTTTTACCTTATGCTTTAGGATAGTCTCTTCATCTCCTCCCATCTTCTTTAATTTCAAAAATCTTCTTCCTCCTTTTGAAAACTCTTCTTGCTTTGAAACTTGAACCATTTTCATAATAAACTTGGACTTAGGTCCATGCATTTTCAAAACATTTTCATGAATAAACTCTAATAAATTTAATAATACCTTGACATTTTTTGTGAGAAGACTAAAAGTCAATTAATCTCATTTCAAACCATTTTCCACTTTTGCTTTTTTATTTTAAAATCTTTCTCAAAAGATTAGACTTTTGTCAGTCCTTGTAGTGATGCAAACAACTATACTTCTATAATATATAGTGAAGAGAGATATTTTCCACTTGGGTGTTGAGTGAGACATTGTTGATTTTAAAATCCAAGCCATATCCTCCACTTTGAGATGATGCAAATTCTCCTTTATCATAATTGTGGGTAGTAAGTATGTTTTCCACACGGACAATGACGATGATGTCTTATCTCATAAAATTAACTAACACACTTGTGTTTTAAAATTTTTAAAGGTGAACTACGTGTACCCTGATCACCTATTGCACGAAAGGTGGTACGTAGGCACTAAAGATTCGCAACCGCGGCGGGTGCAAAAATCATAAAAAATATATTTCTTTTCTCACCTTTACCATCTATTTTACATACAACATTTTATAGCCAAAATATACCGATTTTACAAAGAGGTTCCTACGGAGTACCTAGATGTTTAGGGTGCTAATACCTTCCTTTTGCATAACCAACCCCCTTACCTAGAATCTTTCCCCCTCTTTTTTGGATTACTCGCCCTTTTCCCATTCCTTTGGAAACAATAAAGTGCGGTGACGATTTTTATTTTGATTTGTATAAGTCTAGTCAATTCAATGACTTAGTCTTAAACATTTCTACCGCTACAGTATTCTAAATCAGATGAGGATTATGCAAAACATCTCCATATTATGCTTCAGATTTTGAAAGAGAAGTTGTGTGCCAAATTATCAAAGTGTGAATTCTGGTTGTGCGAAGTAAGCTTTCTTTGTCATGTGATATCTAGTGGTGGTATAACGGTTGATCCTTCTAAAGTGGATACAGTACTACAGTGGAAAGCTTAAAAAAATTGGCTCTACATTTGTCTCATTTGAGTCGAAGGGGTCACGCCTTTGTGTGGGATATCAAATGTGAAGAAAATTTGAGAGAGTTGAAGAAGCAGTTGACAAAGACGTAGTTTTAATTATTATGCCAGGATCGAAAGAACCTTTTGATGTATATTATGATGCGTCCAAGATGGTTTGGGTGGAGTACTTATGCAAAATGGACATTTAGTAGCTTATACTTCTCGACAGCTGAAGATTCATGAATGAAACTATCCTACTCATGATTTAGAGTTAGTCGGTGTGGTGTTTGTACTGAAGATTTGGAGATAGTGTTTGTATGATTCTAGATTTGAAGTGTTTGCGATATCTGTTTAATCAGAATGAGCTTAATATGAGACATATGAGATGGTTAGAGTTTTGAAGGACTATGACTTTGGTTTGAATTTTCATTCCGATAAAACCAATGTTGTAGCAGATGCTTTGATTGGAAGTCATTACGCATGTCGACATTGGTGGTTAGAGAGCTAGACTTGATCGAAACAATTCAGAGACCCAGGCTTGGTGTGTGAGGTGACTACTAATAGTGTGACATTGGATATGCTAAAGCTGACCATTAGCTTTCTTAATGAGATTAGGAAGAGTCAGAAGTTAGATGTGACATCGAGTTTATCTTTTGTCATTAGTTAATCAGAGAAGGTGATGACTTTAGAGTTGATAAGTGTTAGGAAAAATGGCATCCATGGAACGAGAGAGAGAGAAGCTTCCACTCTTTGTATTGGTGAAAATAGAATATTACAAAATGAATGAAAAAATCTCCTTCTAATAAGGTGGTTACAACTTTATATACTAATATCTCACTAGGAATAATATGTAACTACCTATATTTCTAATACCCTCCTGTAAGCTAGAAGTTATACACAACACTTCCAATTTGGAATGAATAATAGAAATCAAAGTAAAGTAAAAAAAAAATACAACGAACAAATTCCAGAATACATTGGCAACATCAAAGTCATAATAAATAACCAAATTTGTAGTAGTTGAGGTGCATAGATTTTAGAAGCCTTCGACCTACTCTTGAGTCTCATCGATCCTCTTCTAGCGTCTCCGCAACAATCACTCAAAAAGAAGATCAAGAAGAAACTCCATTCTTGGGAGTAAAATTTCAAATGCCAAATAAGGCAACAAACGCTTAACCATCAAGCAAAAACCACTATTCAAGGTTTAACTACTTGGAGGAAACAACAATCAAACACTTAACCATCAAGCATAGGCCACAACTCAAGACTTAAACACTTGGAAGAAGCAACAATCAAACACTTAACCATCAAGCATAAGCCACAACTCAAGACTTAAACACTTGGAGGAAAGCAAAAGAAACTTAGCCACCATAAAGGATAAGCTAACACTAACAAATCCAATTAAGGAACAAAGCTTAATCATCAAGAGTACTAAATCACTCGAGACAAAAGCAAAATATCAATGTTTAACTATTCATGGAGGGTGTATTACGCTTAACCATCATGAACAGAAGCAACAACAAAGCCAAAATAAGGCTGAACATCATAAACCAATATGTGAATGGTCTTTGCACATTAATAACCATGTTGTCAAATCTCAACTTGCATTATAACTTGGAACCTGTCTTCAAAAAACAGCTTTTCACAACAGTATGTAGGAATAGCATTGTATGAGAAATCATTTTCTAACTTCATCAACCAAATCCAACCAACGATACTCTCATTGAAAATCATTGCAAATAAACCATTGCTGAAACAGTAACATGTTAATTGGAATCACGTCTTCAACTTTTAAAGCAGAACATAAATCTCCAAAAAAATTCAAAAATGCATATCTTCATCGATTCTCGCAACAAACCCCAAATTCTTGCCAATACACAGACTAGAAATGGAATAATTTTGTATCACAAAACACTTGGTGCTCACAGAAAAAGGTAGAAATCAATAAAAAGACCATCCAAAATAGCTATGCCCAAACTTGTTACATTCACACATGTGAAAGATTCAAATGAAATCTCAAGTTGTAGAAGAAAAATTATCCAATCATGTAGTACAAAATTTAATGAACTCATTGGTCACATAAACCACAAGTATCAAAATGATGAAGCAGCAAAACAATACTTATCCATCAGAAATTTAAACCTCAAAGTTGTCTTCAAACTTCATATAATAGCAACTTGACACAAAAATCCAATTTGTGGCATGACAAACCAAGAAAAGAACATGTAAGCATTAGAGATTCTCTCTTGCAACCAAAACAATATCTCTATAAATTCCATTAGTAATAGAGACACCACTAACAATATATCGCCATCTAAAAGAAACAATGCGACGGAAGAGGAATATGAAACTCATTTACCATTTAATCAATCCTCAACAATTTCAATTCCATGAGAAGCTTCCAAAAAGGTTTAATCCATGCATAAATGTAAAACTTCAACCTTTCAAATCAAGAAGTCTAACCTCCAATGTAATACAATGAACTTCAAAGACAAACCTTTAACCGCGACTATGTGGCAACAATGCAAATGATAGCGATGCCAAGGATGTTTGGAGCTGTGAGTCGCCGCTATCTCCAATGAACTACTAAACCAACATCTGCAAAACAGAGAGAAAATGTAACCAAAAATCTCAAGCTAAAATTGAGATATCATAGGACCGTATACAGAAGTAGATGCCTACACCGTCAAATCGCAACACCAGAAAATCGATACTGGTATCACCAAAGTTCAATATCAGAACAAAAGGCAAGATCCAAAACTGTCAATCGAATCTGGAATCTTGAATCTCAAACAGATTCGATGTAATCGCGAAGCAGAATTGCAAAAATCAGTAGCAAGAAAACGCAAATGAAAATCGTTATATCAGATGAGAGAGGAACTCACTTGATCTTGGCGAAATGGAACCCTAAGATTTTGGGGGAAAGAAAATTCGAACAGAAAAATACAAGTAAGACTCAATTCTTCAATGAAAGATGAAGCCACATTAAGGAAATTTGAAACAGAGAGATAACTGAAATTGCATCAAGAAATTGGAAATTAAGAAATCAAAATGTGTAGAAACTGAGTTATCATCAATCTATGGTAACAATAACCAAAGAATTAAGAACTATGAAAACCCTAGGATTCGAAGGGAAAAAAACAAGTAGAATGGATCTTGATGATAGAAACTGGAACAAAGCAAAAGAGAAAACTGGATTCTCTATAAAGTGCAGCAGAAAAGATCAACAAGGTGGATATCATATTAGCTCTGATACTATGTTAGGAAACATGACATTCATGGAATGAGAGAGGGAAAAACTTCCACTCTTTGTATTGATGAAAATAAAATATTATAAAATAAATAAAAAACTCTCCATCTAATGAGGTGGTTATAACTTTATATACTAGTATTTCACGACTCGTATATAACTACCTATAATTCTAATAATAAGAATAAAATCTTGAGATTTCAAAATAGAGTTTATGTGACTAGTGTGCCGGATCTTAAGGAGATGACTCTAGGAAAAAAACACAGTAGGAGTTAGAGTAATTAACGTAGAGCTACTAAATTGAATCAAGACCCTTAGAAAATGATTGGCGGCCGAGAATAAATAAGGATTTCGTAGAATTTGTTTATGTTTGCTTGACTAGTCAGAAATTGAAGATTGAGGAACATAAGTCGTATGTATTGATACAATTGTTAGGAATGCTTAAGTGGAAGTTAGACAATATTTCTACGGATTTCCCGACAAGTGTTTCAAAGAATGCTAAAGAGAGCGTAATCTGGAAAGGGGTGAAAAAGTTATTTGGAACTTGAGGGTCGAGCGAATGACAATTGAAAAAGTTAGAAATAAATATAATAATTATAATAAACATTTTTATTACATAATTATTTAAGTAAAACGTTTATTTAATAAAAGTGTTATTTTGCTTTTAATATAAAAATAAAGTTATTATTGGCATGTTTTAGAATAACTATTTTGAGAATAACATGTTACGGGAACTTTCTATGTAATAATTTATTGAAATAATTGTTTAATTGGAATGAATTATTTCATTAAAAATTTAATTTATTATATTACCCTTGGAGAATGTGTAAAAGATTGGGATTATCATGTTGAGATCAATTGTAATTTTGTAAAATAAGATTGCAGTTAGATATATTTTAAGTGGGAGTAAATAGGAGGTGAACGCTTCAAATGAGATATTTATTATATTTAAAATAAAAAATATAATAATAATAGTTACACACGTCGTTATAATGATGAAGTAAATATTATTAAATATCATTATTAGGGAAATTGTCGTTCTTTATGTTATTGTAACGTTGGAGTATATAATAAAATTTAGAATTAATTGATTATTAATGATAATAAATTAAAAGAAGAGTGTAAAGAACGAGAAAGATGGGGTGGAAAAATCATCGTGGAAAAAAAAGAGAGAAAAAATATTTGAGAACGATGAACGATCAACGCAACTTGGAGAGGGAGGAACGTCAAGAACTTGAGAAAGCTTCATTTACGGTAAGGGGGAGATTGTTTACAGTTGAGTGATTCTTACGGATCAGGATGATGATGGTTTCTTACCCTCACATCAGCGTCGTATTTGGGTAAATGGTGTTTCTCTGTATATTTGATATTGCGATCAAATGAGATTTGAAATAAATCTCATTTGGTCTTAAACTTTTTCATTGATTTTTCTTCTCCTATTATGTTGTCGTTTGAATATTATTTGATTGCATTGTTCTCGTGTCCTTGTGACTATGCCTTTTGAACAAATTCTCAATAATAGAATATAATATGATTATTTTTGTTGTTTATTTGTGGTTTGGATTCTCTTTAAATTCGAATATGATTTAGACATATTGATATTTATATCATAATAAAATTAAAATTATATGTTTTATTTTATTAAAATATATTTAATTAAAATTGAGTGATATTTACAATGTTTAGATAGATGGGTCCTCGTAGCATAGAGGTGTATCCATTCCAATCCTGAAAGTGAATACCAAGATGAAAAACACGTCCAACACATGTTGGTATAGTGGGACGCTTTTCGTTTATGACTTCTAAGAGGTCATAATTACCATGAAAGTTTCTTGGGGTTAAGGTAAGAGATATTTTGATAAAGGATTTTAGTGGGTTGTGGTGAGTTATGATTAAAAGGAAGAATTAAGGGTATAAATAGGGAAAGAGAAAATGTGAACAACAGGAGAAAATATTTTCTTACGAAAGGTAATCAGACTAGAGAGACGCAACAATAAATGACTACAAAGGGAAAAGTACAACTACAACTTCCAAGATACTATATAAATAGTAAATACAGGAAGACAAAACAAACATGAGAATAGGTATTTTGTGCTTATAAAGATTTCTTATTGATTACAGATGTCTCAGAGTATACCTTAAATAAGAGTCAATAAAGTTTGTTGATATCTAATCTTAGTGTGAGAAAAGATTTAAATTTAGTTAGCATGCATTAAGATGAGTTATCAGATAGAGAAAATATAATTTTTATTCATACGAAAAGTACAGACTCATAACATACAACAGAAAATAAGAGATAAAACAAACAAGACATTAACAACAAACTTAGACACCAACTTAGTTAAACCCTAAAAACTTCACATCGTTTCTCCTCAAGTGCGTTCTCAAATCCATTATACCTAACATCTCTAATTATCTCGGTCTTGAAGAAGATGTTAGACGATGGCGCGTATCTAGAGGGGGGGGGGGTGAATAGAGGCGCGAAAATAATTCTAGACACAAATCTAGAATTTAAATTGTTTTCAAAACTTTTTAATGCAGAAAAAGTCATAGAAGAAACTTTGTTAGGATATGCTTGTCTTACTTGCTTGTTGTGGTTGTCTTTCTTGTGGTAGGATTGATTTTTGGTATGTGCCATCAGACATAAATTTGCACTTTCATCACTACCACTTGAACTTTCATCGTTTGATGAATCACTATCACTTTCCCACTGTTTCCAGTGATTTCTGGAAAACAACCGCTAGTCTTCCAAACTATCGAATAGTCTTTATTAACGCTACTCAATCTCTTTGGTAACTCACAGGATCGACTAGATTGATCCTAGGACTCCTTGGATATCAAGGTTACTCTCACAATCGAACAATTATTCATGGGTGCTATTGTATATATGTTTGGTTTGTTTCGATCCCTCTCTCTAAGAGTTTAAGAATATGGTCAAAATGTATGTGAAAACTAAGTTACACGAATGATTGCTAATTGTAATGCTAATTGAAAAGACATAGAAAACTGTATGAAAAATGAAGTAACTGATTTCGATCCATAAAACATTTAACACAAAAGGTTTCTGGAATGTAGAAGTTTAAAATGTGAAGAAAGCGTTTAATGCAAGAAATCTAGAAAGGAGTTTAAGTGAAAGTACAGGTTTGAAGAATAATGCTATGAAAGTAAAGATATTGAAAGCGTAAAAGTTCTCTGAAACATAAAGTGCTTCGAAATGTAAAGAAAGCAGTAAAATGTAAGACTTTGAAGAAAGGACTTTGGAATGAAAAGACAATAGATAAAGAAACTTGTAAATGTTGCTCGACAAAAAGAAAAAGAAGGAAAGTGCTGGAAATAGTAAAAAGGCTTTCATTAAATTAAAAATACATGGTGCTATCATACATACATCTCTCTTGCATTCGTTTCCCTTGCCATGTGGTAGTTTGAATGTTATTGAGTATTTTGTATAACAGATATGACACACTGAAATCCTAACACTAAGACTTCTATTTATACTAATTCGACCCTAACGGTCTCGCTACAAGATCATGCCACGTTTCGAACATGCAAGATAATGTTCCTTTCTTCTTTCCACGTGTCCTCAAATGCTCCAACGCATAACTTTCAAACTTTGAAAGTCCCGCTTTCACTTAAATTTCAAATGCTTTGGTGTTCTTCTGCTTCGAACGCTCTTCTCAGATTTAGCTTCACTGCTGTTTCGAGACCCCTTTGAATACGCTCCCAAGATTACCGTTCGAAGCTTCAAACTTTGACACACTCATTCGAAACACTGGTTCTGCAATTTCGAACGTGGTGTTTTAATTCCATTTCGATCATAACTTCTAGCTCTTTTTTGAATTCCAAATAACACTATCAAAATCTTCAGCCAACAAATTGCCCCTTTAAAATATGTATTTCGATCTCTCTGAGAAATACCTATTTTAAACATTTA